TCTAGACTGGCCAGTTTTTCCGGAAAATCAGCCACTTTTCCGGAAAAACTTGCCAGCTGTCTACATTGTGCCAGCTGTCTACACTGGCCGCTTGAATTTCCGCAAAAGCACTGACGATCTTTTGCGCAAAACTTTTGCACAAAAAGGCCAGTGTAGACAGCTCAGATTTGTTTTGCGCAAAAAAGCCCCCATCGCGAAAATGGCGATCGGGGCCTTTTTGCAGAATAGCGCGTCTAGATTGGCACGGACGCTTTTCCGCAAAAAGTGCTTTTGCGGAAAAGCATCCGTGCCAATCTAGACGCTCTGTTCCGAAACTGCTTTTAACGGAAAACTTTTCCGTTAAAAGCATTTCCGGAAAATCATGCCAGTCTAGATGTAGCCCGCCTGTTCAGTTCCGGGGGGGGCGGGCCAAGCCCACCCACAGCAGAAGGTCCCTCTCTCCCAGTCTAAGGGGAGATGCAACTGAACCTATTGTGCTCAAAAAGTTTTAGGGTGGGAGGGGCGACAACCATGAGCGGCCCATAACTGTCCCCACTCCCTTCTCTTCTGCCGGAGACAGCGCCTCTCCTCTTCTCTCAAGAGCCTGCCCAGACTACTCCCATTGCTTCCCTTGGCACCAGTGGCTGGGTGATAAGACCTCAGCTCTGGACAGCACTGCTGCAGTGCCCTCAACCCTGGGGCCAGAGCTGTCCTTACTAGTGCTGGTCCCTTATCCAGCCCAACACCAGAACGTACACACACACACGCTGTGGGGTGGGAGCAGCAGCAACGTGGAGCAATGTAGGGAGGTAGAAGCTGTGGGGAGTAGGGGTTTGCCAACTCTCCCAGGCTGGACACACTGTCAACTGAGAAAGTTGACAACCTTGAAGCGGAGCAAGGAGGGAGGCTTACCTGCAGCATGAGGGCAGGAGGCAAGAGACACAGGTGGAGGCCAGAGAAGCAAAGCTGGGTATTTGGGCAGCCAACCAGGAGAGATTCAAATGCTGCCCTGCTGATTACAGAATGCTCACAGCCTGCAACGTGTTTCTGGTAGTGCACATCCACACATGCCTTGATGCACATAAAATTTATTACATTTGTCTACAGAAAAAAAAACAGAACATCGTCTCCAACCCTGATGATCCAGGTGGCCAGCCCCAGATCACCAAGCAACGTGCTCCAAGCGCCCGGCGGCCAGCATACTCCAAGTGCCAGGAGGGCAGGGTGGCTCTAGTCCAGCCACCAATTCTTGCCAGAGCAGGCTGGCCAACCCCAGCCAGCCAGGGCAGAGTACTGGGAATAACAAGCAGGAGGGGGTTTGCTGGCCTGGACTGGGGAAAGAGCATGAGTGGGGCCACACTAGGCTGTTTTGGAAGGCATGCCTCCCTCTGCATACGATATCCACTGCCCGTGAGGACAGCTAATGAAAAACCAGGAACAGGAGTGAGGTCATATGGCCATGAGCAAGGAAGTGGAGAATACCAAGCAGAGAGCCCCAGACAGCATTCACTGTTCCTCAAAAATGTCTAAGAATGCTGGTCAGAGGAACTTTGCCAGGATATGTGGGAGGAACAGAAGTAGGCCCCACAGTCACAGAGCACCTCTCCCTCCAAGATCTTCCTAGTTTTATACATGCTACTTTGGTTAATGCAAGTAGGAGATTAATGAGGTCTCGTGACTTTGTGAGGCCATGGACAAGATGTGCAATAATCAGGAGGTATGGGGAAAATGCAGCCAGAACCTTGGAAAAATGTTCAGGAGGATCCAGAAAAGGGGCTGCAGCCAGGCACACTGCAGGTAAGTATGCACTAAGGTCTTCCTCATGCTGCAGAAAGGACAGGAGTCAGGGTCATGGGTGAACAATGCCAGGTAAATGCCCATGCTCACAGACACCAGCTGATATTCTTGGTGGGCTGTGGGACCAAGGTGGAATACAGACTGATCCACTGAGGTTCCTAGTCCTCCAAGGCTGGTAGAAAGTCACAAAGTCCCTGTGACGGCGCGTTGGGGGTCCCCCGTCTCCTGCACCCCGAAATGGCACAAACAGACTGCACCAGCCGGTGGAATAGAGGAAGTTTATTGCCTCTCCAGGATACAGCACAGCACAGATGTAATCTGGTCACAGAGCTGGGCTAGGATGCCTCAGGCCCCCTTGAGATGGGGGAGACTGGGCCCCTAAACTCCAGCCCCTTCCCCTAGGCTCTCCTCCATGCTCTCAGACAGCCAGCAACCAACTCACTAACTTCCAGCCCTGCCCCCCAGCCAGGGCAGCATTCCACCTTCCTTTGTTCCTCTCCATGGGGGGTGTCTGGTCACTGGTTTGCATAGTGACTCATCCTGTTTTGCTGGGTCGTGGTCCCCACGGCAGCCAGTGGGGGTTACCCCAGAGCCAGCAGCATAGAAACCAGCCAGGTACCCCCACTACGTCACAGTCCCTCACACTAGGACATGAGGAAGAAATGAAATGTATGGAGCACAGCACACAGAAGGCTCAGTTACACATGTGGAGTGCTGGTGGAGGGAACTTGCAATGTAGGGATCTTATGAAAAGATCTGAAGTAGGGATATCACTGGTTAACAAGTAAGCATCATCTTTACCGTGTGATTCTTCTCGGTTACCCAGTAAGCACCGCCTTTGCAGCGTGATGCTTATCTGTTACCGGTTACCTGGTGACCACCACCTTTGCCACGTTACCGGTTAACCAATGACCTGGTGCAGTGGGGGGCTACTCCACTCTGGCTGGGTCTACTGCACCATGGGCTGGGGGTACTCCCGCCCAACCGGGCTGAAGCAGCTCCCCACAGATAATGCAGTGGGCCTGGCTAGGCTTATCTGGTAGTCAATTACTCGACTATTCGCTTACATCATTATTCTAAACCTATTTATTGTTCATGATGTCCGTGTTTGCTTAAATCTAATAAACTGCAGTGTTAGATAACAGCATGTTTCCTGGCAATTTAATCACAATTGCTGAATTCATCTTGATTTATTCCTTACACTACCTGGAGTGAAATAACTAAGCTGTCCCTGAGGTAACAGACTGGGAAAAAAATGCTCCCAATAGTCCAGCTATCAGAGTAAAAAAAATGAGCCATCCTGTAGCACCTGAGAAACTAACAAAAATATAGATAGTATCATGCACTTGAATGGGCAAAAGCCACTTCCTCAGATGAGCTATCAGTAGTTATCAGATGTGCTTCATACCATCTGCACTTGGTGAGAAGGCTGTATCCTTTCCTTTGCCACTTGAAGATTAGATTAGCAATACCCTCTGTGTACACCTCTCAACTCTAAAATTGTCATGAGCCCAGACTGCGGCTATCTGCACAGGAAGGGCCTGATCCTGCGATAAGAATGGTAGGGCAATAGACACTGCATGGTATAAATGTCAGCTCATGTGGTTTTTATTGCGAGAATGGGCCTTAGCGTTGTTTTCTCCCAGGGACACGTTGCGCCCTGAAGCAACAGAGCAGTTTTAGGAAAACAGTGAAAGACAACAGTAAATGATCAGGAAGAGAAGATACAAGTAAGTATGGGTGGGATATACCTGTCCTTCTCATTATAGACGATTCCCCGCGGTCCTGCTGCTGCGTTTCTAATACAAGAACTGCTGTGCTATTACCAGTGGCCAGGCAGGGCGACTGACCCCATGCTGCAACGGCTCCAGGAAGGAACAATTTATTCCGCTTTTACTTCCGAACACTACTGAATTGAGCTAGCCCAGGCGGGTGCGGAGGGGCATTCAAAGCAGCTAAAGAGGCACTAAGGAACCCCGCCCTCGAACACCCGCCCAGAAGCAGGTGGTGGAAGGATTGCTGCCCTGGCCAGCAGGAGAGCGGAGCTCCCCTAACCCACAGAGACCCTGCAGCACAGCTGCTGCACCAGGCGCGCGCAGAGCAGCCGGCGGATGGAACGCCCAGCTCCCAGCCGCCCACTCCGGCGCATGAGCAGACACTCGGGCGTCGGGCAGCCAGTGCGTGCGGGCGAGGAAAAGCGGCTTTCCCGCTTCTGTAACCGCTCGTCGCGCGGCCTCCCCGTTCTAATCCCGCCCCCCGCGCGCAGTGTGTCCCTCGCTGCCTGCCGTAGGCGGGCCGCAAACGGCTGGCAAGATGGCGGCAGCTGGTGTGGTACGCAGGTTGTCGGGTCAGTGAGAGAGAGACACTGGCGGCGGGCGCCGTCTCAAAAGGGCCTCCTGGTCCGGGGGAGGATGTAGGCGAGGGAGAGCAGCTGCTGGGGGAGGCTCCTTGCCCGTGGGAAGGATGCAAAGGTGGGGGGGGGCGCTCGGGAGGGAAGCTGCTGGGGGGGGGGGCGCTCCTAGATCATCGTGGCCCTAAGCCCCTTGTGTTTCTTTGCCTCGTTTCAACAGCCTCTCCCTGCCGACGTGGGGAGGGTGGTTCTGTCTGGGGCAGCACAAACCAGGCACCCGCCTGGCCTTTGTTGATCAGCGACTCCAGTTCTCTGCTGTGGGATTCGGGAAGCTCACAGGGAGGCTCCGCCCCAACTGCACGCAGCTGGGAGAAGGGGGAGGGCACTGAGCATGTGTGGGAGAGGGGGAAGTGTGAAGTAAGGATGTTAAATATCGACTCATGTATTAGTCTAGTAGTCGATGGGCGTTCTGCGTTTCTCCTTTGACATGTACAAGAGCCTCAGCAGGGGCTTCTGCTTCGGAATACACAAGAGTCCCGCTGACCCAGGGCTCCACGTGGCGCTGTTGCTTTGAAATGCTGCACAACATTTCAAAGCAGCAGCGCCACACGAAGTCTGCTCTGTAATACCACCTCCTTCCCCACACACACACACACACACACCCACACCCACCCTTTGCTGCCTCTATCTGATAGAGGCGACAAGGTGCGGGGAGCGACTAGTTGACTCGACTAATAAGCATTTTCTTATCAGATAGTCGACTAATCCTTAACATCCTTTGTGTAAAGTGGAAGCAGATTGTGGCAGTCCTTGGGTTGTGCCCACAAACATTCATGATACCATCTACATTTTTTTAGTCAGTCTCTAAGGTGCTGCAGAGCAATTAGTTGCTTTTTAAAGATTTTTCAATTACAGACTAACACTGCTATCCCTCTGAAACTTGTTCATGTGGTGAGCCTGTGTGCTTTGCAGAGATGACAAATCCCAATATGCAGTACAGCTGTCAATCAAACGGGTATATGTGCATCTTCCTGTGGTAGATGAAGCAGCACACGCTAGGATTTGTTATTGCTGTACTTTTGAGCAAAATGAAGCATTGCATGTTGGGACATCTCTCCATACACTGGACTCCATGCTCATGTACATGACAAACTCAGTCTTTTCGATTGCCCTCACCCTGTCTAGTGAGCTTCACAAATAGCTTTTTTTAAAGTCACTCATCCACTGGCAGCTGATGGATTGTGATGTATCTGCCCTCTTCTTCAAATTGGAAGAGAGGGCCAGCAAACAGTTCTCCATCCCAATAGTTCTTGTATTAAGATAGAGAACGGCATGTTGGAATCTCATCTCTACTACTTCTCTATACTAAAGGTGACTGTAGCTACAGCCACATGTTTTCCCTTTGAGCTGCACTTTGGAGATTCCTGGTTTAGACAAACTGCAGTTTCTTGGTGTTGTGACTCCCTGTAACCATAGATGGCGTGCAGTGCTCTGAATTGCTGGTTTGTTTTCCCAGATGCCTACCTAAACAATTCCTAAAACATTAAAGGGGAAACGCGGGGATCTAGCAGATTTGTAATTAAGTGGTATTAATGTTTACTACATCACAATAAAACATAAATTCAGGTAGCAGGCAGTTTCAATCCTCTGTTCGCTTTTCATTAACTTTTCCTGGTGTTATCTATTCTCCCTATAGAGATTTTAAGACCTCTGAATTTTCTGGTCCCTTTCACCTACAACAGCTCCTGCAACATCCGTTATATTTCTGGACTCTCCATACAGCATTTCCATCGGGTGCAGGCAACATTAGCTTCTTCTGTTACAAAGCCTCTGCTATCTGTTCCTGACCTGCCATGTAGGTGTCCGCTTTCAATCTTTAACAGGTACAGTATGTTCTTAAATGGTGAATGTTATATATAAAACCTACTGGGAAACAAAGAGATTGCTATAATAAAATTTGCAAAATGTAATACACACTAGAATCAGCATTAGTCTTCCATATTTCTCCCCATTGCACTAGCCAAGTGCACAGTGCAGCCCAACCAGTGGTAGCAATGGAAGGAGTGCAGTGTAGACTACTGCCAGCATTTTTGTCACCTTTCTCTCCTCTCAGTGCCAGGAAACAAATTAAAATGCTAGTGTTCAAAATGCTATTGTTGGGGTTAAACCTGATTTTTCTATCCAAATTCCATATCCTCATCAGCACTTGAAAAGCAGCAACTTTCTCCAGTTTGGCATGGGTATTATTCCTTATCGCTCTTACAAACAAAATTCTTTCTTCCAATTAAAATAACTAACTCCAAATTGCTAATTTAAAAAAAAATTAAATTTAACTTTTCACCTATAATAGAACTTGTTACATTAGCCTATTTTCTGAGCTCTATTTTTTAAAATTATGAACTGAATAAAACTGTACAGTGCCTAGCATGGTGGGGTTCTGGTCCATAACTAATGTTCCAAGGTGCTACAATAATACAAATAATAATATTTGAGATTCATTGAGCCAGACGTGCAATGCTATTTAATAGACATGTTTGTATATGTTGATACTCCTCCAAAAGACATATTGAAATATTAGATCAATTTGTTTTTATTAAATTTTGTCAAGCAAATTGGTGTAAAGCCTCTCTAGGTTTTGTAGATGGAGTAAGTCAGGTGCTGAGTTTGGGGAAAGGGCACTTCATTTTTTTTAAATTATATACTTCATCTTTTGTGTTTATTTCAGAGTAACACCCTTACTGCCACATATCCTCCTGCAGCCTGTGAGGACTCTCACATATTATAGCCTTCGAAAAGGAAAGAGGAAATCTGTAAGATCTGTGGTCAAGAGATTTCTCCGACTGCACTGTGGCCTTTGGTTAAGGAGGAAAGTAAGTATGGGATCTGCCCTCATTTTAGAGACAGCGAACCCGCTGCCTTCCTTCTTATAGGGGAGTTGAAAGCTGACTTACTCAGGCCTGGGGGATTGTTGAGGTATGGGTTGGTTTTGTTGTTATATATCTGTCTATGGTAAAATGATGTGGAATTCTCTGCCCTCTGACAGGCTGGTTACAAGAAAAAATTATGGAAAAAGTCTGTTGCCCAGAAAAGGCGCTTGAGGGAACAAGTGTTTTGCAATAAAACACAAAGTAAACTCCTTGATAAAATGACCACTTCTTTCTGGAAGAGAAGAAATTGGTATGTTGATGATCCCTTCCAGAAGTATCACGATCGCACAAACCTTCGACTGTAGAAATCCTCTCTTCTGTGTCTGAATTCACACTTTTTTGTTTTTCCTTCCAAATATATGTAATTCTATATGGGCTGGGATCTTTTTATGCATTTCCAAAGACAAATATATACAGTTTATCACTCCTCCATATATACATGTAACATGCGCATATACAGTCTGATTTGAATTATTGGTACAAACACTCAAAATAAACTAATTCCTGACTGTAACTGAAATATGGAGTCATAGTTGGCTATTGTATTTCATAGGAAGTGAAGGAAGGGTAAGGGGAAAAGGTGAGAATTTTGTTTCAGCTAAATATTCTCAATTCATTATTTTGTAAGAATCTCTTTGTGTATGTAGGAGAACATCTGAGCTAAATTTTAATAATTAATATTAATACAAATAATATAGAACGAGTATTATCAAAGCACCTAGGAGCCCCAGTCATAGACCAGGATTCCATTGTGTGAGGTGTTATATAAACACAGAACACAAAGACCATTGCTGTGTCAGGCTACGTCTACACTACACGTTTTTGAAGCAGAAAATATGCTAATGAAGGACTCTAGCATAAGTCACAATCTCATTAATTTATTTTCTGCCTTTTCCTTTTGCACAAAAACCCCTTGCGCAAAAAGAAACGGCAGAAAATATACTAATGAGATCACGACTTATGCTAATGAGTCTCTCTAGCATATATTCTACCACAAAAATGTGTAGTGTAGACGTAGCCTCAGTGTCTGCATTAACTGAACGGGGCTAACACTTTTAAAAAACTGCCTACTTTGATATTGAGTGTGACTGAAGCAGCTTCTCTACTAGAAAACACTAAAAATTGGAGCCTTCCAAATGTTGGTCAATGGATAATGTAAGTGATTAAAACAAATGTTAAGTTAGCCAAAATTATTTATAGAACTTCCATTACAATCATTCCGAAAGCTTGTAATTTTCATTGCTTTCTTATGTTAATTGTGAATAAGTGCCTGCTTGTTAATTTTCTTAAAGTTGTGGTACACACATAGCCTTTTATATGAAACCATGTGATTTTAGTTTTATAGTCTAGAATGTCATTTTTGTTTGTGCTTTTATTAAGGCCCCTTTCCTTGCATTCTTTAAAACTTGGCAGCCTGTAGACAAGGTGTTCAACAGTAGCTTCAAACTGTTCCAATCTCTTTACTGTAGCCTCTGTCAATCAGTTCCATTATTACTTGTTGGACAAGACACAACTTACTGTATAATAAAGTTGTGGTAGTCCAGTGAATTCATTGGTATCAAGGTTAATAGCTGTATTTTTACCAGTTGGTAGTACATAAGAATGGCCATACTGGGTCAGACCAAAGGTCCATCTAGCCCAGTATCCTGTCTGCTGACAGTGGCCAATATCAGATGCCCCAGAGGGAGGGAAAACAATAGGTAATCATCATGTGATCCCTTTCCTGTTATCCATTTCCAGAAAAACAGAGGCTAGGGACACTATTCCTACCCATCCTAGCTAATGGCTATTGATGGACCTAACCTCCATGAATCTAGCTAGCTCTTTTTTGAGCCCTGTTAAAGTCCTGGTCTTCACAACATCTTCTGGCAAGGAGTTCCACAGGTTGTGCGCTGAGTGAAGAAAAACTTCCTTTTGTTTGTTTTAAACATGCTGCCTATTAATTTCATTTGGTGACCCCTAGGTTCTTCCATTGTGGGAATTAGTAAATAACTTTTCCTTATTCACTTTTTCCACACTAGTCATGATTTTATAGACCTCTAGCTTATAACCCCTTAGTCTCATCTTTTTTAAAATGAAAAGTCCAAGTCTTTTTAATCTCTCTTCATATGGGACCCGTTTCAAAACCCTAATAATTTTTGTCACCTTTTTTGAACCTTTTCCAATGCCAATATATCTTTTTTTATTTTTTTTAAAGATAAGGCAGTATTCAAGATGTGAGTGTACTATGGTTTTATATAGAGGCAATAAGATAATAAGTCTCCATCCCCCTTTTTTTAAATGATTCCTCACGTTCTCTTTGCTTTTTTGACTACCACTGCACACTGAGTGGATGTTTTCAGAGAACTATCCACAATGACTCCAAGATCTTTCTCTTGTGTAGTTGTAGCTAAATTAGTCTCCATCATATTGTATTTATATACACACAGGATTTGTAAAGGACATGCAGCATTTAGTGGCTAGATCTATATACAGTTAGCAAAAATTAAGACATGCAGTAGCAAAAGTAACAACAGGAATTCTAGTCTGCCAGATACATTGAACGGACTGAAGATGTGGGTTTTTTTTTAAAGAAAAGATTAAGACTTTATTCAAGATGTATATCAAGCAACATAACAAAACCAGCAAAACTCCAACCTTTGGAATACTGTTATACTGTCCACACTTTGAGGCATTAAGTATACTGTCCTATCACAGATCTTTTCTATTGATCAGGGGAAAGAAACCTTTTTTAAGTGCACAGTTACAATTCTTAAATATGTTTATATAAGTGTGAATCTCAAGAGTATGCATAGTGTTCTTTACAATTTGAAATACTGTGCCAGGTGCAAAACAAGTACCCAAAACAAACAGCAAAAGAAGAATGATTAACAAGCATTTTGTCACAAATATAGCTATCATTACTACATGAGAACAGTTATTTCACAGAGCACAGTCAAAGGCAGCAGGCTGTTTACATGATGCCAGGGAGCATCGCATCCCTCTAGTTAACTTTTCCATGAGGTAATTTCTCCCCTTTTGTTTGAAACAGAAGACCTTTTCCTCTTCCTTCTACCAGGATTACACTTGTGTAACTCCCTTTGCTTCTGGGCAGTTACTCCCAGTTTACTCTGGAGTAAATAGAGCCTTGGTTGTAGTTCGAAATAGCCCTGCTTCAGTGATCACTGTAGCTGTGCTAGTGTTGACAGTTATATTTAGACCAGGGTGGATAAGGGTTTGCAGTGAGTTGCTCAAAATTTACCCCATTTATAATCAAGGTAAATCCCAGCAGGCTAATTTACTGATCCAGGCACTAAAGAACATTCTCCAGCTACAGGACTTCAGTGCCTTTCTATTCAAGTCTGTAGTTTATTTCTCCAAAATAACACATTCAACATCTTCCCTGAGCTGGGGTCTTTTGCAGAGGCTTAACCTACTCCAGCCACCTGAGAGTCCCTTACGATGGTGAAGGAGGTCTTGCTTCCCAACCTGAGCTCTTGTTGATGTTGATGAGGACCAGGTTATATCAAGTTATCTGCTCCTTGATCTCATTGCTTTAGCTAAGTAGCAACTGATTAGGCAGAGGCAGGACTGGGGATCCCTTCCTGTTAAAGGGCCAGCTAGCATGTGATTCTGATTAGCTCAACTGATTCAAACTCTGTTTGCCTCTGTTTACTGCTAGGGTTCAGCCCTTGTGTAGCTATAACAATTGTTGAACTGAGGTTATTTCCAAGGGGAGACAAGTGCCTGAAAGAAGAGTTGTGACTAAAGTTCATTCAGCTGATGTTGATCCCAAATAGACACATGTATCTGAATGTTAAAATGACAAACCTTGAGAGAAAGCATTTGTAAACAACCTGTGTCTGTAATATACTGAATTTAAAGCAAGTGATTGTTCTATCCTGTGTACAGAACACTATACCACTAAGTGTACATGTTTAGGCATTCACATTTCTTGTCAGTCTATTCACAAATACATAGCTCAGTTGATAAATTAACACATTTTTGCCAGCGATATGAAAAGGGTTTTTTTTCAGTTGTACAGCAAATGTCTTCAAGAGAGAAGGCAACTCCCTTGTCAACAATTTCACCTCGGCATTTAAGAAAATCGAAACAGTCAAGTTTACAGTAAGACAGCAGATCAGACATTTAATAACTTTAGTGAGGATGAATATTAATACAGTGTGTGTGTGTGAGAGTAGAATTTATCAAACATGATGTAGCTATATATTTTTATTTTTGGCATAATTTGAGTGCAAACTTGTCAGCTTTTGTTTTGTCTTATGGCACCCTATTGCAAAGCACTGAAATGAAGCTTGCAACGGGTTCTTAATTTCTACTAACACTTCAGGCAAAGTTCCTATTTAAAAAAATGCTGAAAAATCAAATTGACTCTAAAGCTACTTAAATACATAAGCGTAGTTATTCAAAGTTTTTGCTGAGTGTGAGCTAATGACTGAGAATTTTCCAACTGCCATCTTGAACACACTGTTTTAGCATATAATCTTCATAAAATACAATCTATTCAGTGCTTATAAGGGAAATTGGATTTTCCAGTAATGGCTCCAAATGGTATGGCAATCACAAGAAATGTCCTTTGCCCTTTCTTCTTACTAACCAAACTGGTACTAATGTTTATGGGTAGGGGGCTGTGGGTTTTTTTTCTTCCCAAACTATTTAAGGAAGCTTCAGAATAATCTCAAGATGAGTTAGAGAGAAGGCTGAGATGGAGAAGCCTATCCAGCAGATAAATATTTAACAAAGGTCACTTCAGATGTGCTTATGTCTGAGCCTGGTGCACTCTAAACAGTTATTGGCATGCTGGGCCACTACTGTACCCAAACTAGGTTAACAATACTATTCATCATCAAGTCTGTTTACTGTTCAGTTATCAATGGCAATCATATGTCATGTTATTCTAAAAGTTTTTCTAATCTATGGGATAGATGCAAGAGCAAACACAAAGGGCCACATAATAAACTAATTTATGAATTTCACATGCTTTTACATTTATAGGAGACACTAAGCACAAATACACATATCCTACAACTTCTTCCTCTTCTTTTGTATTTAGCACTTATATAAGGATGCCAATGCACCAGTCAAACTAGAGTCTCGTGGTTTTAACCAGAGTCCAAGTACTGGCAAAATTCTCTCCAAGCCACATGAGGGAGCTCTATTCCAATGCACTTCTCTGGCTGCAGGTGTGCAATTCCCACATCCATTCCAGGAAAGCAGAACACCCAAACTCAGCTCCCATATGCAAGTGAGGAGTGAATTTTGCCTTATTAAATCAATAGCTAATGGTTTATATTGCAGCAGTTATTACAAACATGGCTTGCACGTATTGTAGAACTGCCAGTAAAATGTTGGTCAAGAATTACAAGATTAATTATTCTTCTGGCATCTTTTATTTTCTACAAAATATATCACTTGCTCTTCTTCTGGCTCAGGAGTTTCAAAATTAAGACTCCCCTGCTTTAATTTGTGAAATCAGTTCAGTCTCTTGTACATCTCTCTTTCTCTAAGTTGTCTACATTTTCAGCACGACTAGAGTTCACATAATTTACTTGCAGAAAAAGAAATGGAAATGCAGTTCAACCTTTGCTAATAAGTCTCAGACATTCTGTGCAGTCAAAAGAATTCAAAATATCTCACATCAGTCACAGTCTTGTTACAAGATGGAGGAGGAGTAGGGAAAAAAATCTATGGCTCCTGCAAGTCCACTTCATTAAGGATAAAGCCAGAGATACATTAGTCAAAGTATCACTGACAGCTATTGAGTATTTTGTGTTTATTTGTTTGCATTCACAAGCTAAAACTATGCAGACACAACTAATAATTGCAAATGTACAGTATGACAGGATTA